ATTATCATATTTCATCTAATGTGTGAAATACATATCCCAAGCACATAATCAATTTAAGTAGACCAAAAGCATTCAATCCCATCTCCATTATAAAGTAATATTGCTTTCATCAGTTTTGTACAGTACCAATCTAATGCCCAGATGCCACAATCATACATTTGATATATACACCTTTTTTCTAGGCAAAGAGGTAACCATCTCACCTAGTCTTATTTCTGGACCATTTCTAAGGGGGATGAAGTGGTTCCCACTTAGGGTACATCAAATGCTAGGAGTGCCATCTCACGTTAGTATGATACGCATTCCGTTACTTCCTGAGGTGACTGGGTTTTCACCACGTAAAAAAGATATCCATGTAACAACGCCAATTATTCCTTGGAAACTCAGAGCAGCTCAAGAACAAGGGAGAGTCAATATATTATACTAAGCCGAGGGGCATATCAGTACAAGATATGGGGGATAAGAACCTTTGCATGACAAAGACTACAGTATATCCTGGTAAGGTAAAGAATATGGATGATGACATGGCAAGCGAATCCTCAGATATATCATAGGAACAGTGAATACTACTAAGGCAGGAAACTGATGGTTATATCGCTTCATGGGGGCGATGTTGGGAATGATGAGATACAGGTTTGTGGGTCTTCGTATGGGGGCCAGGCAATCACTCATGACATAAGGATGGTGCAGAGACATCAGATAAAGGAATGCTAGACACAGCAGCCCTTGTTATCAGAGATGACCTTCTGGACCAGTATTCCTCGCAGCATGTAGGGTGGATCTATTAAGTTTTGTGGTGTGGTATCTCAACTTCAATAAAAGAGCCACCTAGGGATAGTATTGGTGGACTGCAGACAACGGCCTCAAAAGAAGTGGCTATGCAGAATTCAAGGGAGTAAAATAAAAAAACTTTCTTTTTTTCTTTTATTAACGTATCTGAATTCCACTTAGGAGTGCCACAAAGACTATTGTAAACAAGAAATAAAACCACAAGTACAACCTAAGATCTTGCATTTTACTGCTAAAAAAAAAAGACAAAATCCAGGATTGAAAAACGAGCTTTGACCATCAATTTAGTACAAATAATGTTCCTGAAAATTTTAAATAAACAAGTAAAGAATGACTGAAAATTAAACCAAACAGCCGGAAAGACTTACTGCCATTTACCTAGCATCATCCTTTAAGACTTAGTACATCACATATACCCCATTTCCTGACCGATAGCATACTCTGATTCTATTGACCCACTAAATGTTTTGAGTCAGGAAGCTTCCTCAGGCAGTACCTCACAAATCTAGGGGTTTTTTTTAGAACATCAACATGATTAGTGTTTCTAGACTCCTTTTGAACCTTTGGAGCATGCCACAGTGTGGCACCTCCCGTAACCTAGACAAGGGCTAGGCGTACCCCCTCTCTCTCTATCTATAGGGTGGTGCATGTCACCCCGAGATCCTTATGGCGGGTCGTGTCCCACCTAGAGAGAGAAGAGAGAGCTAGAGAGAAGAGAGAATGGGGCGTGGAGGGGAGAGAAGGCAAAGAGAGAGAGAGGCTAGGAATTGTCGTGAAGCGAATGAGGGGGGGTCCCCTCCTTATGTAGGTCTCAAGGCCTTGGTATGCCTATCCAAATTATGACTCATCATGACCAATAGAATTATAGAAACTTTGTGAGGTGAGAGACGATTAAATCTGAGTCATCCATCCCCTGAATCAACCGTCATGATATAGGGAGAAATCTAGGAACCTTATCCCTTGAATCTTTGACCCATATCTAGTCAAACTAGGATAAGACAAATCAAAAACCTAATCATCTAGAACTCCCCCATCTCTCACAAGATTGGAGGAATTCAAATGATAAAAGATTTAGTCAAACCCAAAATATTCTTATCCCCCACAACATTAGGACAATCTCTTTCAAAAGATCTCCTAATCAACCAAAAACACCTTTTATTTTTTAAAACAAAATAAAAGAAGAGAGGAGGGGAGCGTGCCACCTCCATGTTTGAGGAGTGGACCCCATGGGCTCCACGCACCACCGATGTGAGTGTGGTGCAAATGGGGCTAGATCCGAGGGCCTCTAAGTGCACCTAAAAGCCCCTCCATTAAAAGAAAATTACTAAAATGCCATTTCAAGAGAATTTAATGCCTTGAAAAAAATTTAAATTTCAAAAAAACATCTCTTACAATGAAAATAATATATCTAGAAGTGGAATGGTACCAATGGATGTCAAGGTACTCCACACTACCCAATAACCATGATCCTCGAGTATCTTCTCAAACCAACCCTACAAGACCCATCTCTTAAAATGCCTTGGAAACAGTTTAAAGTTCACAAAAACATCTTTGACACTGAAAACAATATATCGAGAAGTGGAATGGTACCAATGGGTGTCAGGGCACTCCACCCTACCGAGTAACCGCGATCCTCGAATATCTTCTCAAACCAACCCTACAAGACCCATGACCCACAGTCTCATGCAGGGGCTCACGATTGGCTCATTAAAACTAGCCAATTAATAATAGAACCACGGTGCCAAAATGTGGATTACAGGTTTCCCCCCCTTAAAAACAAGACATGCATGCATCTCTCTCTTTTGCAAGGGGAACTCTCTTCATACATATATACATGTATCCCTTTTCAAAGTTGCTTTCCCATAACGCAGTTGTCATATTTAAATGTCATGTGAAAGCTTGTTGAGGATTTAGCTCCCAATCTCGCAGGCCTACATTCGTACACAAGAGACCACGAAGATATCCTGGCCCAAACACTATCTCCTGGCATCTCTCCAACCTCAACAATACATGACCGTCTGACAATCTCCGTCGATAGTGCTATATGACCAGAGGTCAGGGTTTTGGACATGACCAGGGCCATAGACTGTCTAACCCTCGGTAAGGCAACCAACACATACACTCCTACTAAGGTGTATAATCCACTAAAATTCTTATTTACATGCTCTCACGGCCTTTGAAAGCCACAAAAACCCAGCATGCCTAACAGAGGGTGGAACCAGATTTACCTGTAAACCCTTGTACATGTAAACCTTTGATGTAGCCCTTTCAGATATTTCTTAAGTATTAAAGAGGAATTTCAAGGGGGATTCTTAGACCTCTGAGCTAAATCCTTTGGGATGAGGTCTCGACAAGTGCCTCCATCAAGGGAAGGGTTCCAGGATTGTCTGATAGTAATGAGAAGTCCTCAAGGTGGTCCATGTTAGAAACTACTATAGTAGGGGAAGATATGGATCCAGAGGTTTCAAAAAGATGGATTCATATCCAAACGAGAAAGGCATGGGCAGGAGTTGAAGTATTCATTTAAATCAAATATAATGAGATGATGCACTTGTGCAGGGTATTAGAAAAGAAAGAGAAAAAGGGAATACAAGGAGATAGGTTCATTTTTTGTCTTATTTTCATGCATCAGTGGCAACATTCATGCTAGTCGTCAAGCTTGATTTGATGGTTGTTTTGAGGGAAATTCAAGTTCGGTAGGAATTGGTGGGGTTGTGAAAGTTTCTTGGTGTCTGCACTTACGTAACTTCCCAGGTCCATTAGAAGTCTCTTATTCAATCATGGCAGAAGTAAAAGAACTTCTCCAGTGAGTTAGATATTGCAATTGACCATTCTTGCTTCCCCTTCATGGAGAAGGTGATTGTTTCCATGTATTAGAAATATTGGATAGGCCTGTAGAGAGTTAGACATTGTGGAGGAGAGGAAGTTATTGGAGTTGTGAAATCACCAGCTGGTCCCTTTTTGCCACATCCCACATCCCCCGAGTGCCAACAAAAAGGCGGAGAAGTCGAAAGTGGAAAGAGTGGGATGCTCATATCTAGTTCTTTGCAGTCTTTTGTCCACAAGAGATGTCATCTTGACATCTATTCAGCCCCAACATTTTTTATGCAGTTATATCACTTTGTTTTATATGGCAAAATGACAATTTCCCATAAATAATAATAACAATAACAATAACAATAACAATCAAATAATAATAATAGTAATAAAGTACTATCCTGATTTCATTACGCAACAAAAAGTTGTACCATATATCAAGAGTCAATCAACAACATTCATCTGGCTAGGTTATCATGCCCAAGGCGATAAGTACCGAATGCAACTTCTAGTTTCTAAAGATAACTTCAGTGTTCAGAAAAACAAAAAGAGAAATTCAATAGAGAGTTCAGTCAGTCCGGGGTTACTGAACGGTAGTAGAGTCACATTAGTTTGGATGGTAAATCTATCTAAGCCACTTCGTAGAACTTCTTCTTGTGAGAACTTCACTACACACTTGGAACCAAACACATCTTAATAAGATTCCAGCTCCCAATCTCACATCCAATACTTAAAACGTTACATAAGAGTACACTGTGCTTTTGCCACTTAAGCACCATGACAGCCACCTCTCACAAGAATATTTATTTGTGAGGACTCTCAAACAAATAGAGCACAGGGCTCAAACTTTTTACCAGAGAAAACTACAATTTATTGTGACTCTCTCTCTCTCTCT